TATATCTGTAATTTGGTAGTTAGGTAATTTTTTTTGTTACTAAGAACTCATATATTACTGATACTCCTTCAACATGTGGAATGTTCGTGTAAAGGGACGAAACATCCATCGTTACTAGGATTGTATCATGGTGGACTAAGTTAATGTTTTGTAATTTGCTGAGAAAGTCAGTAGTGTCTCTAATATAACTAGGTATGTCAGGCAATAAAGGTTTTAGGATATTGTCTATGTACCCAGATATAAGTTCTGTGAGGGTGCCAATGCCTGATATTATGGGTCTACCAGGTGGCATGATTTTAAGGGTTTTTGAAATTTCATAGATGTTCTCTTCATTATTTGATTGTGTAATTTGATGTGGGTCGGATGAAAAAGTGTTAGGGTGTTTTTTGTGAAATGATTTTGGGAGTTTATGTAGTTTTGGGATAGTGTAGAATGTTGCTGTTTTAGGGTTCTCAGGAATAAGAGATTTTATGGTATTTTTTATGTTGTAGTTCAGGTTCTGAGTGAGAAGTGATAATTCTGTTTTGAATGTGCTAGTTGGGTCTAGAGGTAAGGGTACATAGAATCTGTTATTTTGAAGTTGTGATTCTGCTTCTTTAATGTAGTGGTTAGTGTCTAAGATGGTTATAGCTCCGCCCTTGTCGGCTGGTACGATAATTATGTCTCATATGTTTTTTAAGAGTATAGATGGCTTTTTGTTCTATTTTGGATAAGTTGTATTTTTTTTATCTGGTGTCCTTTGTTTTTTAAGAAAAAATCCATGTGTTTGTGGGCATATTGATCCAAGTGTTGGTTACGTCCGCTTGGTGGGGTCCATATATTGTTCTTCGTCGGAGGAAGTTTGGAGCATGATTGGTTAGCGCTGTTGTCTGTATTAGAAAAAGGTTTGTTGTCTGAGAAATATTCTTTTATATATATATAATATATATTATATATAGATATATATATATTATATACATATAATATATATATATATATTATATATATATTACATATATATAAAATATATATATATATTATATATACAAAGAATAATCACACATAGAATTAATCAGAAGTATCAATGCGATTATTGGCGACATCCATCGCTAGAAAACATAATATATGCATTAAAATCCTGTTCATCCATAGTGCGAGTTTTGATCCTTGAAGAAAAACTTGTTGTCTGTAGTTTTCAGTTTATTTGATGTTAAAATGCTAGGAACTTATGGACAGTCTTCCATCCACATCAGGCATGTTTTTTTTTTTCCTTATAAAATCAAAAACTTGAGATGATATACCTGTATGTCGACCGAAAGATGTTTTTTGAATATCTGCTATTATTGACGGTTGTAAGATATCGGAACGTGCAGAGACGCAACGCTAAGTTTTTCAAAATTTTTTAAGTAAGAATTTTATTTAAATATTTCTTGTGATGTGTTAAATCCACATATTCTATTTTTACAAGTGTATTCAGTTTTTATGTCATGAACTAAGTATATAGTTCAATAATATAGTGTAATGTCATAGTAGTAATTTTTTTATGTACTGCGGATCAATAGTTTTTAAATATATATATATATATATATACATATATATATATATATATATATATATAATTATTATTTTAAAAATATGATTCCACTTCGTTCATTGTTCTTTCCTATTTTCTATATATTTTCATATATATATATATATATATACACACACACACACACACACACACACACACACAGACATATATGCATATATATAAAGTACATTAAATTAAAGCTCATTCATCTATTGTCTTGTTATCTCAGTGATTTATTAGAACCATTAAATTATATGTGTGTGGGGGGTGCAAATATATAGAAAAATAGGAAAGAACTGTTAGGTAAATAATCCAAAGTTCTTTAGTATTTTTGTTTTTATTTTTAAGAAACAGTGCTCAATACACAAGTAGAGCCAATATTATAATTATTTTTATTTTTTTTTAAAATATGATTCCATCATTATATAAGAGTTCTTATGTTTCAAAAACAGAAGCTAAAAACTTCAATTCAATTATAGAAATTAGATTAAATTAAAGTACCTAGTTCTGTTTCATACTCAAGTGAATTTTAGAATAACTAATTTTGAAAATTACGGAGCTTTATAAGCATATACATTTGTAATATTAATTTTTATGGATATGGAGAAACCAATCATTTTAATAAGGGGTAGTAGGGTATTCATTTTTACTATAGTACAGGTAATCAATCCATTGGTATATAATCTGGGTGGATACTAGTAATATTAATTATTAAAACTGATCCACAGAGAGATTGATGTATTTATTATAACAGTGCATATGTATTTTTTACAGCAAACAAACAAAAATTACCTCAACATAGAGGATAGTCTATTTCAACTTTTGGAAGGATTCATCTGATACTATTAAATGGTTCACTAATATGAGGAATAAGAATAAAGTAACATTCATTGATGTGTACAGAATGGCTTGAAATAGACAATCCTCTATGTTGATGTAATTTTTGTTTTTTTGCTGTAAATATATATATATATATATATATATATATATATATATAAAAATGTGTATGTATATATAAATATAAATATATATATATATATGCAATTTTTATATATATTATTTATATATTATATATGTACAGTACTTATTGGAAAGCACTCAATATCAGTGATAGAGCTAACATATTTAGTTGGGTGGTGTGAGTTTGTGACCTTGGGTTCCAACATTGAATACAGCAACCAGTTGCATATGTATACATGCAACTACACATAGATGCACATACATGCCCAGTCCCACACTGTTCATATATGTTTGTTTGTGTAAGCTGCAATGCATGAACTTGCGTGTATGTATGTCTGTGTACATATGAGTGACAATTTTTTCTCCTACTACCATAAAACACTGATATATGCAAGCATAAATAAACCCAAAGTTTAAAAAATTAATCAGTTTGTCTGATGATCACAGAGAGGGTGAAACCCAGGGTCACAAACTCACATCAATCCAACTAATAGACCCTTAAGGTTGTCTGTTTTCTATTTAAATTGAATTAATAATTGCTCTGGTTTGACATTGAGCTCTCTGAACTACATATGGATTACCAAACTTTTCCTTATATATATATATATATATATATATATATATATATATATATATATAACTGAATCAATAAGCTGTCAGATCCTCATACGTTGAAACCGATGGGAGAGTCCATTATATATATATATATATATATATATATATATATAACTGTTTATCTCCTTACAATCACACCATGTCCAAGTTCTGCCATTATTTAGACAAGTTCATTAGACATAATAGTCACTAACTCTAACCCTGCATCTCTGACCATCAATATGCACTGTAAATGTTAAATTCTTCAAGCCTTCTATCTTCATTATATGTCCCAGAAATTTCAACTATTCCTTTCTGATCATAAGTAAAGTGTTCTTTTCATTCCCATTTTCCTTAAAACTTTCTTGTTATTCACATGTTCCATCCATGGATTTAATGCCATATAATAGGATTTAATGCCATATAATAGGATTTAATGCCATATAATAGCTGAGCATTCTTATCAAAAGTTTTCCTTCTTCTTAATATTTTTAGTTTTTGGAACACATCTCTGCTATTCCAATATGCTTTCAGATTTCAATATCACATTTTCAATTTCCTATTAAAACATTTGCTAAATACTTAAATACCTTTATTTGCTTTACACATTCCCTTCATCACTTGCATCTTTGCTTGTCTCTCTTCCAATACTCACACTATTAATGCTACCTAATCAACAGATACCATTACTTCTACCAAATTTTGGACACATCTTCTTTCATGTGCAGTGTCCCTTCAGGATGTGGGTGATCATGGCTCTCCACAGCTTCATGTCCCTTGTATCAGTAAGCAATGAACTAATACCATTTAAATTTCAGCAACTTTCAGCAGGAATCATAGGTGTGTATAAATTGCAATATTGTGGTGCATTCATTTTACATTAAATTTTAAAAGTTGTATAAGATTTTTACCTTTAAATTTTAAGCTAGATGAAAAATTAATTATCTTGCTAATTTTATTTTAAAAATGGCTAGAATTTCATCTCTTTTTGCTGCATCCAACTTACCAATACTGCATTTTTTTGTGTTTGGTGATCATGGTGAGAATTTTAGGTGGCCACCTAATTCATTGCTATTTATTTTTCTATGTAAATTCATTGAATTTTGTTTAAAAAAGCATTGTCAATGGTTGGAAATTACTGAGAAAATAGAGCCATTATATTTATAATATAAATGCATTCCTAAAGGTTTAATTGTAGAAATGCATTGAATATTAGAAAGAAAAAACTGTCAGTGACCAAGAATTCATGCAAGCATAAAATAAGTCTATTATATATATAATATAAATGCTAATGCTTTTTTCTATAGAAATGCATTGAAATCAAAAAGAAATGGGTTGTCAACAACTGAGAATGACAGCAAGAGTTATTGAAACAAAAGTGCAATTTGATTTTTGTATTTCTATGGTCAACAGAAATGTTGCAAAAATAACACATCATTGCACAATTTTTATTAATACAAAATCATTATTTACTCTAAGCTGAAGAATAAAGCAACTTCCATTCCAATTAGGAAGTTTCCAAGGAATTATTAATTAACTAAGTATAATTTACTAAAAATATATCTCTATCCAAAAAAATAATTTAAGGACTATTAACTACAAATTTCAGTGTTATTTTATTTGACTTATCTGCACTCTCTCCATCAACCACAGTGACATAACAATTACGATATAATAATAATAATTAAGCTTACTGATAATTAGCATTTGTAAGTAATTATAAATTCTATAACCAAGAAGTAACTTGACATCAAGCAAAGACTATCAAATAATGGAGTATTTCAATGAGTGTATATAATAATGGCTACAAAGAACCTAATGGCCAAACAAAGCCCGAATACTGATTTTGAACACAGGTTTGAGTCCTGCCAGAGAACACTTTTTTTTACATCACGTTGAAATACCAGTTCCCATATGATCACTGAAGTTAAGCAATATTGAGCCTGGTCAGTACCTAGATGGGTGACTACTTATGAATACCAAATGTTGAAGCTTGGATGAGCAGGTGATGTAACGGATAATGGAATTGTTGATATGAGAGCCGAGTTTCACTTCCCTTTATGTTCGTTATATTCACTTATACGCAAATACACTTGGGGAATCTATGAATCTACCTCTTCTCCCTCCCTAACTATGGGTTAATTAGTAAAACTTGTCTCACTAAACCATTAATATTTATAAAGCTGGAGCAAATAGAGGAGAAATGAAGGTTTTCTACCAGTAAGAAGCGTGCTCAAATGAAAGAAAACAACAAGGCAAGATCAGGGGGAGAGCATCTTAACATGCATTCATTGCAGTTGAGACCATCACTTCTGTGTGGGCCTGTATGGCCATAACTGTTGCTGTACCACCATGAGCTGCTGAGGCATAACTTTTTGGGTGCAGATGCAAGGTTTCTCAAGACCAATGGATACCACATACACACACACACGCATATGTATGTATGTATGTATGTATGTATGTATGTATGTATGTATGGGCATGTGGCTGAGTGGTTAGAATGTTAGCTTTCTGACCATGAGACCTGTGTTTTAATCTCACCATTGTCAATTTTTAAGAAGGTTACTTTATTATCAGTCTGAGGGAGGTGATCCCAGAGTGAGGCACCTTTGGAAAGTGTCTGAAAACTACACGATGGGTTGTCCCAAGCCTTATAAATGAAATTGTGTACAGGGAAATCTTTGGGGAGCCAGCACAAAGTTACAGATTGTTGTGACTGAGGGTTTGGGAATGAAGTCACAAGTCATCATGATCGAGGGTTGAGCATGTTGGCCTTCTTCAGACTGTTAATCACACTAGATAATACTCTCCCAGAAAATGTAACAAAGATCCACTTAACATAGTTTCCATATAAATCACAGGTGGGCACTGTAGTGTTGAACAAACACAAATGTGTCAGAGCAGGTGTCTCCAGCAGGGATTGGCTAGCTGCCCTAGTAGACAGGCATCTTTGGATATGAGTGCCCAGCCATTATGTATGTATACATTAAATTTAGAGCACAGAGGTTGGTTAGCAATTACTTTTGCCACTACTGACAACACAAGAATTTTCAGGAATGCTGATACTCTGAAACTGTAGATATACTCATATATACTTATATCATCAACTAGGAAAGAAAACACAACTTAGATAATTGTATCTTTATACCAATAACAAAAGAGAACAGTCACTCTGAAAAATGGTAAAGAATTAAAAACTGTTAACTCAATTTGATTCAGATGTGCTTTTTGCTATGGGAGTCATTTACTCCTATTGCAAATCACTACTGTAATATATATATATAATCTATAAATGGGCTTTCTGTTATAATATTATAAAATACGAAAGATATTAAAAACATAATTATATTCCTTCAATTCATGTTTGATATTTAAACCACTGTTTGCTTTTATTCCCAGGGTAGAAATATGAGGAAATGAACTTTTGAAATCAGATATCAACAAAACTAAGCTACCTGTCATATATGAAAGATTAAATGTGACCTTGGTGAAAAAATTTTGTCAGTGTTGACAGATTAATAACAACATCAACTGTTGTATATGTAAACATGTGCTGCATTTCCATGCAAGTATGCAAGTATATACAAAAAGCTTAGCTTTGATACAAGGCCAAATAAAAGATAACAGTAATGAAAATAAAATAGACACAATACAATTTTCCCATTTGAAAGAGACTTTCTGTTAGAAAAATCAACAATTATAATTCTCAATTCAAACAATAACCTCTGACATTGATGTGAAATATAAAATCTAACTTCGCAAACATATTGCTACTAAATCAAGTTATTTATTTAAACCTGTCACCAGTGTAGACAAAATTGAACAAAGATGCATGTGTGCACCCCCCCACACACACATATATATTTAGTGTATCGGGGCAGTAGATCATTATTTAAACATATATTATGAAATATAACAGACAATGAATGTCTATTATGTCTGATCATTCATTCTAAAGTTTGTATGTTTGCTTTATTTTCTATTGGAACAAGACAACCATATTACTACACAGGTAGGTTTAAAAGAATTGCTTAAAGCCAAATCTATTAAAAACCATTATCATAAAAATCCAAATGGAATTATAAACACTCCTTTAATAAAAGCAGCCACACAACTAAAAAATAACTACAGTATTGTTATCGACGAACTGATAAGACTAATACTTTTGTTATTTTAAACAAGCATGAGTACCACTCAAAATTACATACCATTTTAGATGATCATAATAAAAAGTTAACCAAAAACACCACCTCTCAACTCAAACCATATCAATTAACTTATTACAGCTAACAATGCTGACACAGGATCCTATAAACTTCAAAAGATTATGTGACTATGAACCTGGCTACCTTTATGGAAATGTAAAAATCCATAAACATGATCATCCCCTCCAACCTATCATTTCACAAATAACTACACCAGTATATTATGTTTTTAAAACCCTTAACAAATTAATTACTCCCTACCTCCCAAGTAAATATTGTATGAAGTCCACAAATAAATTTATACAAATTCTTCATGCTGTAAAACCAAACAACCAAATAATTGCATCTTTGGATGTACAAAATTTATTTACTAATGTCCCCATCCATGAAACAATTGGCATCATTATCCATCACCCTTCTCTCCCACCTATCAATATTAAATCCACTATTTAAAAAAAAAATTAGTATTAGCATTCAAGTACATTTTCATGACCCTCTAGGTAATATTTATACTCAAATAGATGGTATTGTAATATGATCTCCTTTAACCAGCCTCCCTTTTTTCTAATCATTATATGGCACATTTAGAAAATAAAATACTTAATGGCACTAATAAATCTCCTATACATGTAAGATAACCATGAACTAGATACAAATGTTGAAATTTTTATTAATTTTTACTCTTAACTTGAATGTATCATATATTTGATCTATTCCAAAAGCAATTTTTATTAAATTTTAATATCAAACTTTTCAATTTGTTTCTATATAGGCAGAGTGTAGAATCTTTGTCCAATCCTCACCTCTTCTGAATTGGAATCAAGAGTTCTGACAAAAAAAAAATAATATTAACTGGAAATGATTTTTGGAAAAGCTAAAATGGAAACCATTAAAATTATGCAGAAAGAATTATAAAAAAATGATTCTAAAACAACTTGTAAGCTCCTTATTTCCTTTTTTTATATATGGGACTAATTCATGATCACATAAAATAAAACATGGATGGTTAATAAAGAACGGAATGGATAAGGAAGAAAATATAAAGATACAGGTAAAGAGTAAGAGAAGAGTAAAGGTCTGAGATAATAGACAGCCTTAATTGTGGACATTTGCAAGATTTCCAAGGATTGAGCTAATTTATTAAATAATGATCATGAATATGTGTGTGTGGGGTGTATGGGTATGGGTATGTGTGTGGGGGGTGTATGTGTGTGGGTATGGGTGTGGGTGTATGGTGTATGGTGTGTGTATGGGTGTAAGTATGTGTGTGTGGGGTGTATGGGTATGGGTATGTGTGTGTGGGGTATGGGTGTGGGTATGTGTATATGGGTGTGGGTGTGTGGTGTATGTGTGTGGGTATGTGTGTGGGGGTGTATGGGTGTGGGTATGTGTGTGTGGGGTGTATGGGTGTGGGTATGTGTGTATGGGTGTGGGTGTGTGGTGTGTTGTGTGGGGGTGTGTGGGGGGTGTATGGGTGTGGGCATGTGTGTGTGGGGGTGTGGGGGTGTGGGTGTGTGTGTGGTGTGTGGGTGTGGGTGTGTGTGTGTGTGTGTGGGTGTGTGGTGTGTGGGGTGGGTATGTGTGTGGGGGTGTATGGGTGTGGGTATGTGTGTGTGGGGTGTATGGGTGTGGGTATGTCAGCAAGTCTCATTAAAAAGAACTGACAATGTCCATCTGTTTAATTTTCCATTGTATTTTTCAAATTTTTTGTATAAAGTGTTGTGTATTGGGATCAATATTGTGAATAAACTGTCTGAGTTCATGTCTGTGTTGTTGTTTATATTTAAATTTAAATTTTTTTAAACATTTTTAATTTTTTTAAATAAAATTTTTTTAAATATTTTAAAACTTTAAATTTAAAAATATTTTAAAAATATCTAAAAAATATCTAAAATTTTTAAATTTTAAAACTTTTAGAACTTTTTAAAATATTTAAAATTTTTTTAAATATTTTAAGTTTTAAAAGATATTTTAAAAATATTTGTAAAAAATTTAAAATTTTTTAAAAATCTTTAAAAAATTTTTTAAATATTTTTAATATTTTAAAAATATCTTGAAATACTTTTTCTTAATATAAACCATCTAAGGAGGATTTATTGTTAATCTTATTACATTTTATTTGTAAGCATATTTTGGTAATTTTGAGTGATAACAATTTTTTTTTGTTATATAATTAATAATTTTTTTCAAATTTCTTTTTTTTTATCCTTCCTAGAATTTCACTTCATTTTTCTTATAACTTGACTTGGGGTGTTAGGGTTGGTATCTGGACCGAATTTGTGTAACTTTTTTCTATTTAAGCCAAACATCCACCCCTCCCCTTACTACTACGCAGGCAGTTTTGTGCTGTCTGTTTGGTTAGCTCTGCTTCATACAGAAGTAGAGCTTAAATTATAATTTAATTATAAGAATTATAATACATATATATATATATATATATACATATATTTATAAATCATTTTTTGAAAGTTATTCAACAGTTCTTGAGAATGAAATAAAAACTTTAATTTTAAGTTTAATTTAAAGTTTCCTTGAAATATGGAAATATTGCAATGAAGACATATTTTTAAATAATATTATATATATATATATATATATATATATATATATATATATATATATAAAGGGCACTTAAATAAAAGCCTATTATTACTTTGGATTTTATTTTATGATTGTGCTGGGAGTAAATGAGTATAAGATTGTTATTATTTATAGCTTTTCAATAGACTGTTAGTTTTATATTTTGATTTATGTTATGTATATAGAGTGTTATGTATATAGAGTGTTATGTATATAGAGTGTTATGTAGAGTGTATGTTATGTATATAGAGTGAGAGAAAGGAAGTAAACTTACACCAAATAAAACTTTAAATGCTTCTTTTGCCACATTGTCAATGTCATCATTCCCATACCATAATGGAGTTTCATCATTCTCACTGTCCAATGAAAATGCTTCTGGGAAAGAGTAGAGTGCAATAAAAACAAAGTTTCCATTGCACATTCCTTCATTGAAAGCATTTACCATTATTTTTCGGAGAATTGATTTTGGGGCACTGATAATGATGACTGCAAATATAATGGAAAATAAAAACATAAAACAATCTCTAAAAAACATTTGTAGCTAATCAATATATGATTAATGATCAAGTCTTATTAATTTTGTTAATATTTGCATGTTTATTACCATCATCCTCATAAAATCATCTGCATATAGAAATGATAAAAATAGCTTGACAAAACATCAATATTTTAATCTCTTAAATAACTAATTTCTTAAAAATGTTAAATGTATACCTCACATATACAACTTTAAACAATCCTAACCATGACATTTCTCCTAGATGATACATGTATATGTAAATTAGAAATGTAGCATTCCTAAAAATGCCAAAATGAAATTAATTAAACTTTGTCTCATGTTACTGATAACATTAACTTTCTTGATAATGGCTAAAGATGGTTTTTCTAGTGACCTTTCTGTTGCAAGGTTAAAATAAAAATTATTTCTAAACATTCTTTAAAGTATTTATATCACTTTTTTATGTGTGTGTGTGTCTGTGTGTCATATGGACAATCAAAAATATTTATTTTTTCTGGTATTGACAGTATCCTTTTCTAATTTTGATTTCATCCCCCCACCAAAAAAAAAAATAAGGAGGAAGAAAACAGGAACAGGAAACAAAATAAAAATGTCTATACTTACTCCTTGCTTCCCGCTTTAATTTCCTCAGATGTTGACGTATTCGTTGATCATTCAGTTGGCTTGAGTTGAAGGAGATATTTTCTGATATGGTTATGTTGTTTAATTCAAAGTTATTTATAACTCCATTGATTGCAGCATTAAAATATTTCCCTGGAATTGGAAAAAAGATAAAAATTAAAATATTTAGAGAGAATTTCAAACACTAATCTACAGAACATTGAGATCCAAGAAGAAAGTTCTATGAAATAATAAAGATTTTATTGATAGAGAAATATAACAAATGATGGTTACAGTCAGGGTTAGTGCTAGGAATTGTGAGGCCCAATTAGAAAACTGATGGTGGGGCTCCTACTCTACAAAAGTAAAAATTTATGTATATTTATATTTCATGTAGTATGCTCATCTTTAACTAAAAAAAATTAAATGCTTGATATACTAAAATTTTAAAATACAATATGAAAGTTTTATTTTTTTAATACAAAGTAAGGCAATTACAGACATATTGCTTACACAGTTCTTTTAGAAAAAGACTTTTCTGTTTTTTTTATTTGCAAAGTCTCTCAAAATATTTTCAAGGTCAATGGTTTTAGCAATGTTATTTTCTATAGATAGCATTGCCAAATTGTTTAGTTTCTCTTGTGAAATTATTGACTGTATGTATGTTTTAGTTTTGAAAAACTTCTTTCAACTGATGTGATTGTTAAGGCATGTTTAAGTCAATCCTCAAAGCAAATAAAACATTAGAAAATGTTGTAAATTAATTGTTTACTATCAAGAATTCAAACAGTGCATGAGGCTTAAATTCTAGTATCAACTAGAGGGAAGAAAAGATTTCAGAGTTTCAAGTTCTTCAACCAACAGATAGTCATCAACTCCTTTAGTTTTGTCAATAACTACCTCTCCATCAGTTTTCTCTTTTTATTGTGGTGTCTTTTAAAGTCACTTCAAATCTGCTGTGTTTTTCCTTATTTCTGCCTTCTGTATACTTTAAAAGTTATTTAGACATTTAAATAATTTTACATGGCTTTTTAAGTTGTTCAGGTCAACACTCCATGGACTGAATAGCTTGGTCTAGCACTCAGGTGGAGCATTGAACCCTGTATGATTCTTTTGGATCATCTAAAGGTTGATCTTTTGTCTCATACAAAAACATTCTCTTCCTGCTACATAGTTTTTTCTTGAAATTGTCTTGTAACACCTATCCCCACTGGATCAATGTACTCTACAAGACTGGCCATTGGTCCTGTCCTGGTCCAGTATTACAGGTTCAATCAAAGTCTCCAGTTCATAATATCGATTTGATTCCACTTCCCAGCCACATTGTGATTTTTGATCCTGGAGAGCAGTTAGCAAATCGTAGATCCCAGAAGATTCAGCTGGTCTACCTGCAAGTTCATTGGGGCAAGAATCAGGCCAAGCAGAAAAAAAAAATCAAATATGAACAAGTTGATTCAAGTCCAAAGAAAAGTTTATATATATGTATATAATGAAGAAATTGGTACAAAAGGATAATGCTTCCTTTACAAGAAAATAGTGTGTATGAAATAAAGTCCAGAAAAAAAAATATTGCAAACAATTCTTAAAGGAGAGTAGTTTTTGGCTTCACCCTTTTTGTTCTTAGTAGTTGCTGTAATTATTTCACTATCAGGATATAAGGTATATTATTGACAGTATTGCACCAATATTGCAGATAACCTTATTACAACAAGTGGACATTTCACTCTCACTGCCTATCTCTCTCTCTCTCTCTCACTGCCTATCTCTCTCTCTCTCACTGCCTATCTCTCTCTCTCTCTCTCTCTCACTGCCTATCTCTCTCTCTCACTGCCTATCTCTCTCTCTCTCTCACTGCCTATCTCTCTCTCTCTCTCTCTCTCTCTTTGGTTGACTGCTTGTCAACTCACTTCATCCAGCTCCAATTCCACCTTCAACTTCAACTTCAACTTTTCACACAAACATGCACGTAAATAAACACAGTGGTAGTCACAAAAACCCAGGGTGTTGGTAAACTTAGAATACAACCTGATTACTGACCTCCCCCACTTCACAATTAAATGAATAGTCTCTTCTTCTCAATTAGTTTTCTACAGTTCATATAAACACTATTGTTTTGACATTTTATATTAATAATTCTGACAAAGCACAGATTCTCTGAGCACAAACTTCACCACAGATTATTTTTCTCATCTATAAACAAAATCCTATGTTACTATAATTATTAATATTTCCAGGGTGACCATTGCTCTCTGCCATATCCTAAACTCCAATGTTAATTCAGCATCTTCAGCCAATTCATTTACACCTACTAAAACATCATTAAAATCTTCCTCTCCATAAATGCTTAGCCATGATAATAGTTTTTCAAATGACTCCATGCCTTCATCAATGTGCTTTGTTTCACCTTGTAGTTCCTTGCTTACATCAGTCAGTTATGTGTCATGCATGACCCATGCTTAGATGATCATATATCTTTTGATACATAACAGACAAGGTAGATTTTTTCCTGCAGTAGGTTGCTATTTCTTTCTGCAGTAGACCAGTTGCCATTCAAGACTATAGAACCCGGTCTGTCCTGCTATTTATCCATAGCTGAGGGGAGAAAAGGAGGATTCATACCTTTCCCAAGGGTATTAGCACATAAGTAAATGTAATGGATTTGACTGGAATTCAAACTCGGCTCTCTGATTCCTCAATCTGTGCTGCTGTCCATTATTCCACCGTGCCTCCTCTTGCTTACATAGTTAACTTTAAAAAGTACTTCATACTAAAATATCAAAGAAACTAAAAAATTTGTAGTCTTCTATCTGTTAAAGATTCAGTTTCTGCTTTTACCCTGAGCTCATCTGCTATCTCTGACATTTCCACAAGTGCATCATATTCTTCTCCAACCTGATAATGAATAGCTTTAAATCTGACACTCCCGCCTTATATTGCTCAAGGGTTTTAAATGTTAATCTAGGTACATGGTTTTGAAAACTGCCCACCGTCATGTTGATGCTGAGAATAATATGTAGATCATTTCCAGAATAAAAAAAATGTTATAGCATCTGGACAACATTTGCCTACATCTCTGAGTAAAATGTTATAATTGTGATATGCACAGGGTACAAAAATGCTCTTGAATTAGCAAGAAACTGCATTATTCCTACTAACTTTTTGAATGCTTGCTGTCAGTGCTTTGCATGTTCATTGATGATTTACCATGCTCTTTTTCAGTTGTCTGTCCACTACAAAGTCTTTGGTGTAACTTCCAGAAACTCCATATGGCTTCCAAATGGTTCTTTTAATTTTCATGTTCACATAACATTGTATGAAGATTAGACCAATTGTTGAATCCACTTGCTGATAATGCACTGATTGTATTCTGACTAAAACGTTTGCAATAAAAGCAATAAATTCTATCAGTAGACTGAGGGTATAAAATCCAAGGTCTTTCAACACTCTCCCCATTTGAAAGTTTGAAAAACACAATCCCTTTTCATTTCTTGGAAAGCTGTTCACTGGAATATTAGAAGGACCTTTCATTATTAAATAATCTCATACATTTTTATTTATATCTGCTGACCAACTGATTGGGACATCATAGATGTTAATTACAACTGTACTCATTGATGATCTATAATTGCATGAGGTTTAGTTTGGGCTTGTTTTTTTCCAGTCATAAGTAAGCTTTCTGCTTTGGCCCTCTCTTCTGGGGCATTCAGATCATCTTCAATTTCATTCACATCAGTCTCATCCTTTTCTAATTAGTTATCAATGTCATCATTGTATTTATAAACTGGAATTGGACTCAAGGCCATATCATCTTTTTCTGAATAGTTTTTGTTTTCTTCATCCTCAATACATGGGCAATTCAAAGATGGAATGACAAGGAATTTTTTGATAGCACCTCTATGTTTTTTCATTTTCAGATACCTTAGCCTTTGGCCAGTTCTTGTTTCTGATTACTACATAAAATATTTACGCCCTTTGTCTTGATTTCTGCTTGTACTTGCCATGATGTAAGGCCTTTTTTATATCAGCTTGTTTTTTTTTTTAGAAAATACAAACAATGACAATAATCAGGAATAAAAAAAAAAACAATGTATTAACAAGAAGTAAGGAAGGAAGTAAGGAAGGAAGAAGTGGAAAGAAGGAAGAAAATTTGAAGAAAGAGAGAAGTTCAATATTAAAAAAGTTATAAGACCTAGTGTCCCAAAATTTCAGTTTTGAGAAATTATCTTTTAAAGAATTTATTACAGTAATACTTTTGTATACATTTACTGTAATAATTTCTAAAGTATTATGCCAAAATACTTGGAAACGGATGTGATTCTACAAAATCTTAGAAGGAAACCACTGTTGAAATTTCACAAGTATAGGATAAGAAGTTTTTGGTCTGTATTAGTATGAATTTTATAAGTGCACTTATGTATCTAGAGGATTACCACAGATAATTTCACATATTTTTATCACATTTGATCTCCTTACTTTTTAACATTTGTTCTTATTTTTAACTCTACTGATTTTAATAATGCCACATTGCATTATTAATAATATTTTGAAAAAAGTAAACATATTGAATGATCCAGTATTACTTTCAATAAATTTCTACATGAATGAATGACAAAAAAATAGATGAAAAGTGTAAAACATATGAAAATTACAAAAAAATAAAGTAGTTAGTCTGATTGAATCAATGTTTACTAATAACAACACCTCATCTGAGAAATTCAGATAGAAAGAAGGCCAGAGGGTAGAGTGACCAAAATGTTATAATAAAGACAACAAAGATGAGGAAACTGGTCTGAATGAATCAATGTATAATAGTAAGAACACCTCATCTGAGAAATTTAGATAGAAAGACGGCCTGAGGGTACAGTGACCAAAATGTTATAATAAAGACAACAAAGATGAGGAAACTGGTCTGAATGAATCAATGTATAATAGTAAGAACACATCATCGGAGAAATTCAGATAGAAAGATGGCCTGAGGGTAGAGTGACCAAAATGTTATAATAAAGACAACAAAGATGAGGAAACTAGTCTGAATGAATCAATGTATAATAGTAAGAACACCTCATCTGAGAAATTCAGATAGAAAGAAGGCCTGAGGATACAGTGACCAAAATGTTATAATAAAGACAACAAAGATGAGGAAACTGGTCTGAATGAATCAATGTATAATAGTAAGAACACCTCATCTGAGAAATTCAGATAGAAAGAAGGCCTGAGGGTAGAGTGACCAAAATGTTATAATAAAGACAACAAAGATGAGGAAACTGGTCTGAATGAATCAATGTATAATAGTAAGAACACCTCATCTGAGAAATTCAGATAGAAAGATGGCCTGAGGGTACAGTGACCAAAATGTTATAATAAAGACAACAAAGATGAGGAAACTGGTCTGAATGAATCAATGTATAATAAGAAGAACACCTCATCTGTGAAATTCAGATAGAAAGAAGGCCTGAGGGTAGAGCATCAAAATGTTATAATAAAGACAACAAAGATGAGGAAACTGGTCTGAATGAATCAATGTATAATAGTAAGAACACCTCATCTGAGAAATTCAGATAGAAAGATGGCCTGAGGGTACAGTGACCAAAATGTTATAATAAAGACAACAAAGATGAGGAAACTGGTCTGAATGAATCAATGTATAATAGTAAGAACACCTCATCTGTGAAATTCAGATAGAAAGAAGGCCTGAGGGTAGAGTGACCAAAATGTTATAATAAAGACAACAAAGATGAGGAAACTGGTCTGAATGAATCAATGTATAATAGTAAGAACACCTCATCTGAGAAATTCAGATAGAAAGAAGGCCTGAGGGTAGAGGACCAAAATGTTATAATAAAGACAACAAAGATGAGGAAACTGGTCTGAATGAATCAATGTATAATAGTAAGAACACCTCATCTGAGAAATTCAGATAGAAAAAGAAGGCCTGAGGGTAGAGTGACCAAAAATGTTATAATAAAGACAACAAAGATGAGGAAACTGGTCTGAATGAATCAATGTATAATAGTAAGAACACCTCATCTGAGAAATTCAGATAGAAAGAAGGCCTGAGGGTAGAGTGACCAAAATGTTATAATAAAGACAACAAAGATGAGGAAACTGGTCTGAAAAATCAATGTATAATAATAAAGAATAATACCTCATCTGAGAAATTCAGATAGAAAGAAGGCCTGAGGGTAGAGTGACCAAAAATGTTATAATAAAGACAACAAAGATGAGGAAACTGGTCTGAATGAATCAATGTATAATAAATAAGAACACCTCATCTGAGAAATTCAGATAGAAAGAAGGCCAGAGGGTATAGTGACCAAAATGTTATAATAAAGACAACAAAGATGAGGAAACTGGTCTGAATGAATCAATGTATAATAGTAAGAACACCTTATCTGAGAAATTCAGATAGAAAGAAGACCAGAGGTTACAGTGACCAAAATGTTATAATAAAGACAACAAAGATGAGGAAACTGGTCTGAATGAATCAATGTATAATAGTAAGAACACCTTATCTGAGAAATTCAGATAGAAAGAAGGCCAGAGGGTAGAGTGACCAAAATGTTATAATAAAGACAACAAAGATGAGGAAACTGGTCTGAATGAATCAATGTATAATAGTAAGAACACCTCATCTGAGAAATTCAGATAGAAAGAAGGCCTGAGGGTAGAGTGACCAAAATGTTATAATAAAGACAACAAAAATGAGGAAACTGGTCTGAATGAATCAATGTATAATAGTAAGAACACCTCATCTGAGAAATTCAGATAGAAAGAAGACCTGAGGGTAGAGTGACCAAAATGTTATAATAAAGACAACAAAGATGAGGAAACTGGTCTGAATGAATCAATGTATAATAGTAAGAACACCTCATCTGAGAAATTCAGATAGAAAGAAGGCCTGAGGGTACAGTGACCAAAATGTTATAATAAAGACAACAAAGATGAGGAAACTGGTCTGAATGAATCAATGTATAATAGTAAGAACACCTCATCTGAGAAATTCAGATAGAAAGAAGGCCTGAGGGTACAGTGACCAAAATGTTATAATAAAGACAACAAAGATGAGGAAACTGGTCTGAATGAATCAATGTATAATAGTAAGAACACCTCATCTGAGAAATTCAGATAGAAAAGAAGGCCTGAGGGTAGAGTGACCAAAAAAAAAAATAATAAAGACAACAAAGATGAGGAAACAGGTCTGAATGATTCAATGTATAATAGTAAGAACACCTCATCTGAGAAATTCAGATAGAAAGAAGGCCTGAGGGTAGAGTGACCAAAATGTTATAATAAAGACAACAAAGATGAGGAAACTGGTCTGAATGAATCAATGTATAATAGTAAGAACACCTCATCTGAGAAATTCAGATAGAAAGAAGGCCTGAGGGTAGAGTGACCAAAATGTTATAATAAAGACAACAAAGATGAGGAAACTGGTCTGAATGAATCAATGTATAATAGTAAGAACACCTCATCTGAGAAATTCAGATAGAAAGAAGGCCTGAGGGTAGAGGACCAAAATGTTATAATAAAGACAACAAAGATGAGGAAACTGGTCTGAATGAATCAATGTATAATAGTAAGAACACCTCATCTGAGAAATTCAGATAGAAAGAAGGCCTGAGTGTACAGTGACCAAAATGTTATAGTAAAGACAACAAAGATGAGAAAACTGGTCTGAATGAATCAATTTATTATACATATGCATTATTTTCTTTTATGTTCATGTACATTATTGCAAATATTACTGCTTGACTAATTTACTGTAATGCAAATTGTCAGTCAATGACAATGTTTACCCTAATCAGTGAAGTGTAGGAAGTTATAAATAATTTCAATGGGTTTAAATTTTTAATTAATCTATAGAACTTTTATCTGTGAGATTTATTTATGTTCACTTGTTATACAATGGTGTGTGGGGTTGTAATCCCTAAATTACAATTATTTTACTTTTTTTATTGAAATTGCTTTGTTAATTATGAATTTTCGACAAGGCAAATATAATTCTTTCTAGGCAAATATGGATTTTTAAAAACATCTTTATTGACAAAATGACTGCTTATGTATGTTCATTTTTAAAATTTGCATTTAAAGTAAATAACTGATAATATAGGCAAAATATATATTCCGGCTTATGTTGAAAATCTTCTTTGTTAGTAATATATAAGAGACTAATAGAAAACCCCAAAAGGTTACTTGTGCACTCATAATAAACCCAATTTAAATACTGTTTTTTTTTTTCACATTTGGTAGTAATGTGGGAGAGTTGAAAAATGACAAATTCTGGCTTTGTGTCACATTTGTTAGTTATATGGGCACTGAAAAATACTTTATATAATGATAAAGTTGGTGAGAAACATATTTAGATTCCTGTATTTTAAAAAGAAATCAGTCTTTTTGTTCATGTTTATCTCTTCTATGAAAAGAAAAACATACCAAATCATTTTAAACATTTTTTTATATATAAAATATTTTAATCTAATCTAATTCTTACATTCTTTATAATTAGTACTGATACATTTTAAAATAGCAGTTTGTAGATACTAACCAATCATTGGACTGTATATGGCAGCAACTTTCCACTTGAATAGCTTGAAGAATTTACTTAAAAATGATCCAATTTTACTAAATGGAGATGTTGTACGTATGAGTGTCTTGAAGATTTTCTTGTCTTCAAAGATGGAATCTGTTGATCCCCAGGATAAATGTGGTAAATTCCAATAAGCTGTTAAGTAGCCGATAGCAAGGTTAACTAAAATTAAAATGTAAACAAATTTTAAGTATTTTTTTCACAAGACAGGATTTCATATGAAACAGCTGTTTATAAAAATATAGAATAACTATATTAAAAACATAAAGAAATATTGTATATATGTGTAAAACCTATGAAGAAAAGCATTTATTTTATACAATAAATATTTATTTTTCCACATAATCCACTTCTTTTTCAGGCACTTAATTTAGTGGTATATGTTAATCTCATAGATGCAATATATTCAATGTAAATTTCAAATTCAGATGAAAACCACATGTCAAGCTATGGATTTTTTTATCCTGTTTCATATAATAAAATGTAGTATCAGATTGTTTCCAAACTGATGAATGTATTTTATCATATAATATAACTGGACAAAGCCATACTGTCTACACATATTATTTTTGGCATTTTCTCCAAGTGTGAATGGTACT